GGCCTGTACAGTTTGTGAAACAGAAAAGCCAAAGGGCACATAAGAAAACTAAAAACATCTAGATAAGGTTTGGGGGTTGCTTGGGATAGGAAGAGATAATGCAGGAATTTTAAGTCTCCTGAGAGCAATGAGAATCATTCAATTTGCATTTTAAAAGATCATAAGTAGAACAGAATAGGCAGGAAGCTAGAGTGGCTGAGATGATGCCAAGTAGAGACTAGAGGCCTGATCTAATACATATTTTGGAAGCAGAAGGGACAAGGTTTGGTGATGTGATGAGGGCTGAGATACCTGGGATAACTCAAAGGTTTCCTAAGTGAACAGTGAAATGGGGCAAGTTGCATGAGAAACCCAGAGGAGCAGAGCTGAGAGAAAAGATCCTGGTTCAGCTGGTTACAGTTAACAAGTAGAGATGTCAAATTAAAAACTAGAACTTGACAGAGATATTAAAGAAAAAAAAAAAGAAGTCATCATCAAAAGGGTTTTTTATGATACATTATACTGATCCTTAAATATTTACCCATAATAATGTGTAATACAAACCCCCCAAAAACCTAAAATAAATCTTAAAAGATTCTATGGAGCAACAGTTCATAAATACCACAGTAGTTGAAGCCACTGTGTATCTACAAATATAGAGCAACAATGTATCTGAACATTCATATTCAAAATAATCCTCTTCCAGGAAATGGTAGGGAATCACTTGTCTTTTGTGTTCACTTGCTGTGTATGCTCCACATCTAACACAGTGCATGACACATATATGGTGTTAAATATCTATTGAAGAAATATACCCACTACTAGGCAGAATAAACCACTCAGCAAAAATAAGACAAACAGCCCAAATAACAAGCAATTCTACAAGAAAAACTCTGTACTATGAAACATACAAATGTATAGCAAGGATATTTCTCAGGGAAAAAAAGGAAAATGAGTTATTTACTTTATCATACCCTAATAGTATCAGAGCTAGATTCTGTTCCCAAAGAATCAGCTAAATTTCAATACCAGAAATTCTATCCCTAGACAACCAAAGGCAAAATATGCTCACCATTCCCTATTACCCGTATATATGAGAAAGAATCAAAATGTAATAAAAGTTTCATATTTGAAGCTCTGGTAAAATCTCACCTAGATTATTAAAACAAACAAAAGGTAGAAGGAAATTTATGAAAATAAAAATAGCAATTACTGATGATTTTTCTTTTTTTTCTCCTGTTCACAAAAGTCATACCGATATATAGGAGAAAATTCAGAAAATGCACACAGAGACAAAAGAGAAAAATTACCCATAAGTCATCACCCAGAAGTAACTAACCACTTTCAACATTTTGTACAGAACTTTTTCTGTGCATACATGGAGGTTGAGAGTAAACAGTGATCCACAGCTAATGATATAATTGTTTCAGACTGTGAAGGAGATTACAGAATGCTGTTATGGCTAGCGTACACTATTGAGAGAAGACTAACTTGAAGAAGTAACAACTGAGATGAGCTACCTGAAGGATGAAATGGAATTAACCAGATAAAGGCACACAGGTCAGGGTAGCAGTCCAGGCAGAGAGAACACAAATGTGAGCAGGGCACCAGGCTCTACCCAGCCAGGAAACTGGGGAGAAAGTTGGGTGGAAGGAGGAGATTGGCTGGGCAAAGCCTTACTGAGAGAGTAGAGAGGACTTGACCCCTGGGGAAAGAAGGATGGGATAGTCCCAACTGCTTAAGTGGGAAAAGGGTTAGTTAGACCGTGCAAGTGCACACTTCTATGATAAGCATCTTCTCCCCCAAAGGGCATGAAAGTAGGGAAATGGAAACCTTTGGGAGTGTGCAGGGAATAAAAAGACAGTGATCCAGTATTTTAAATTTGTATTTTAGGTTCCACACAACCTTCTACACTGGTAGCAAGTAAGGAAAAAAAGTGACTTTAACTCTTGCACAACTCCCAAGAAATTCATATTAGAAATGGAGGTGGGCAGAGGAGCATTAAATATTCATATTAACAAAAAATACAAATTTTAAAAGACTGAAAGACCTGCATTAGCCACTGAGTTTAATGACAATATAGAATATACCTGTTTAATCACCATATCTCTAACAAGTATATAACCAATAAATTAGTATCAAGGGAATAATCATTAGCTGTATTAAGAAAGATGAGGGTAACATAAAGGGATGATCTTAAAAACATCCAGACAAGGAAAACACATCACTATCCTCAGGACAAAGCCCCACACAAAGACTTCTGACCTCTCTAGAAGGGGTAGTGGAGCAGAACAGGCCCCTCAAAGGCTTAGAGACAGTATATCTCAACACTATCACTCCTTCATCCATCCATTCACTCAAGAGAAAATGTTGAACCCAGCAATTCCAGTACTTACATATATATCCAAGATTAAAGAAAACATACATCCATACTAAAACTAGTTCATGAATGCTTGTAGCACATTATTTATAATAGCCAAAAACTAGAAACAACCCAAATGCCCATCAACTGATAAACAAAAATGTATCATACAATGTAATATAAGTCAGCCATAAAAAGAATAAAGTACTGATAGTTGCTACATGACAGATGAACCTTGAAAATACTATGCTAAGTGAAAGAATCCAGTCACAAAACCTACATATTATATGATTATATTTATATAGAATGTCCAGAATAGACAAATCTATTGAGACAGAAAGTAGATAAGTCACTGCCTGGGGCTAGAAAGGATGGGAGCTAGAAAGAAAGGGACAATAACTGCTAATAGGAACAGGGTTTCTTTCTGAGTTGATAAAAATGTACTCACATTAATGCCTCTGGGTAGCTCAGTTGGTTGAGCCTCTGACTCTTGATTTCAGCTCAGGTCATGATCCCAAGGTCTTGGGACTGAGCCTCGCATTGAGCATGGAGCCTGCTTAAGATTCTCTCTCCCTCCTCCCTCCCCCCCCCCACTTGCATGCTCTTGCGCTCTCGCTCTCGCTCTCACCCTAAAATTTTAAAAAATTTAAATTTTAAAATGTTTTCACATTAATTGTGGTGATAGTACAATTCTATGCATGTACTAAAACCACTGGATGGTATACTTCAAATATGTGGATTCTGTGGTATATCAATTACATCTTAATAAAGATGTTACTTAAAAAGAGAGAGGATATTTTTAGCATCCCAGGTATCATGGTAAATTGCTAGAAATACAGCAAAGGGAAAAAACAAAACCTGTTCTCAAAGCCCTAACATTCTAACAGGCAGAAAAAGCCAGTCAAGAGACAATGACAAGATAACGAGAAAAAGAAAGAAAAGAATTCACAGACTACCCCAAGGTTAGTTATGCACCTAACCTACCTCTGGGTGATTCAGAAAGTGTCAAGAAGAGAACTCAAAATACCAGATTTTCATTCTTAATTTGAAATTTACATCTAACTAACTTTTTAAAAATTATGTATCTGTTCAGCTTCTTAAAATCTTCATTCTTATAGAAAGGCTAAGGCATTTTTAAAAGCATTTGTGCACCTACAGAAAGTTTTAAAACAAATATTTTTAACTTTAGAAAAGCAACCGATTAAAATCTGCTAATTAAACGAAACAAGTCTCCGATTAAAATTGTATTTTACTACAAGTTCGCGGAGTGTTGTAAAGATAATGTGCAAACTTTTCATAACGCCTTAAATTGGGAGAAAGAGGGGCCTAAAAAACCGGAACAGCCGTATAATACATTCCAAAACAAAGCACAGGGGCGTGGGGGGGTGGGGAGGTTGGGAGGAGACAAGCAAGGCAGAATTTGACTTAATGATCGTAAAGGAGGACCAAGTGCTTAGAAACAAAAATGGACCTTTAGGAATTAAAGCCACTAATTTTCAACCACAACACTTCGAAGTTATAGTATTAGTTAACTGTTACCATAGGAACAGTGAAGCCGAAGTTCGCTGGATTAAAAATGAAATTACTGCAAAATCAAGTGGGTGTAATAGGGCAAAATTTGGTCCGAACCTAGGTGGAACTGAGCCTAACAGAAACTTTCACCGAGATAAAAGTGAACAAACTCCAACTTCTAACCTACATTTCCGAAACAGGGTTTGATAAATCACCTTTCGGTGTAATTTACCATGTGCTAAAAAAAAGTTTGCCCTCTCTTCTGGAGCAGAAACCTTGCAAAACCACTCCTGGGCATCGCCTACAACCGAAGCCAGCCCGTGAAGCTCTGCACAGTGCAGCTTAGGGGAAGACTGGCTCTGAGTTTACCCGGAAAGCATTTGAACCAAGCCCTGCAGGTTTCACTGGGTAAGCCTGGAGGAAAAAGCCAAGCTCGAACCCGGAGCCCCCGCAGGCCTGCCTCCCTCCTCCACATCCCCACCCTACGCTACGTCCTGTACATGCCTGGCATTCCACGCGAAGCGATCCAACTCATTTATTAAGCACCCACTGTCTACACCGCATCGTGACTTCAGGTACTGCAGGAAGAAATGGCCTCTTGCGGGAAAAACCAAAAGGGCAGCACGGGAACTGAGGACGAACCCGGGAGAGAGCCTGCCTGCCTGCTGCGAGGTGTTCTGGAGACGAGCCCCCGCCTTCACCCCCCGGGTCGTGACAGTCCCAAAGAAGAGATGGCACCGAGGACGCAGCAGGCCGTGCCTCTCCGGAGTCCGCCGCTGATCAGGCTGGAAGGGGAATGGAAAGGAGTCGGCACTCCTAGACCACCCGCGCGCTCCTCTGCCCCAAGGAGCACGACCTGGACTCCGACCCCCGGGAGAACGGCGAGCGCGGGGACCGAACCCCCCGAGAGGGCCGGAGCGGACTGTCACTGGCTCCCGCCTCCCTCCGCTGCGACCATAGCTGGCCACTCTCTCCCCAGCATGACAGCCGCAGAGGCCAGGGACCGAGCGGTCTACCGCCCGGCGTCCCCGCTGCCCCAGCCGCCAGCCACCCCCAGCGGCCCTGCGCTGAGGGGGGCAGTGCTGAGAAGACTGCCCTAGCCCCTCCCCCCACCTTTCCCTCGTCCGTACTCCGGAAAAGCGGTTACCTGGCGCGCGGGTGGGGACGGAGATACGACCCCAAGAAGGAAGATGAGGAGGAAGAAGGTGGCCTCCGGCCCAGAGAGATTTGGGAAATTTGGAAGACTTGTTCCGCACTAGGTGACAGCTGTTCGCTGCGCACGCGCATCGGACCCCAGACGCCTGATCACTCCTCCGCTCCTCACCCTCCCGTCGAGGGGATGGGAGGCAGCGGCGAAGGCGCGCGCACAGCGCCTGCCGGCTCTCCCTGCGCGAGGGCGCGCGCGCTGTCACGTGACCACTGGGGCCCGGCACTTACTGGGTCACGTGAACTTCCAAACAGCTTAAAGATGCCCGGCGCCTTCTTGCTTTGGGATTAGTTTTGGTGCTGTTCTTAATCTAGGCTCTCTATCACGCATCGTGTTCTCTGCGGAGGGGCATGTCCACTTTTTCCAGAGGGGAACACACTTAACCAGAAGGAAGGAACAGGTGCACAGAATCTTGCCCGGAAGTGCCTACCGGATTCCCGCAGGGCTAGACCTGATGGAGTCCACGCGCCACACGTCGTCCTGGGCCGTGACGCGGGCCTATGGCGGCCTCCGGCGGGCGGACGTCAGAGTGGCGTTGCTATGGGTGGGGCCTCAGAATGTCCTGGGGAGCCTGGCTAGGATGTGTGGCTCGCGGCTGGGTGGCAATGACGGCGTCTTACGGGCTGGCACCCCTGAGCCTCCTAAAAGTAATGGCAGGTTCTGAGTAGGCCAGTGGGGTCCACCTGCCAACGTTTTAACGAGTAACTCTCAAGCAAGAGACCATGTTGTTTGCCTCGGAGAACGAAACTGTCCCACATTCCAAACACCTAGGTGGAGCACGGCCCGCCCCTGCCCAGGTGTGCGCTTGGAGCCGAGAAGACCTGAGGGTGGTCCCAGTAGGAATCGAGGCTGGGGGAAATCTCTCAAACTAGGGATTGACAGCAGTTTGGCCTGAATTGTAACAGGAAGTGCAAGTATCTCCGGACCCCCGAGAACGTACTTAAATTAGCTTACCACTATTTGTTACTTCTGCGCTATAACTCTTCCTTCCAAGTTGTCAGAAGGAACCACACAGACCTTAAGTCTTTGTACGGCCAAAGACAGTTGGCTGACACCAGATGTTTTGCAAAACTCAACTTTTTTTTTTTTTTTTTAAACTTCCTGCAGAGTACCCAGCTGGGTGTCTTGTAGCGTTTCCCCTAACGTCCTCTCGGCTAAGAAAGATTGGGCGGATCTTTACACTGCTAAGCACACTTGGGCTAATATATTGTTTCTATTACAATCTACTGATTTCTGCTTTTTAAAATAAGAAGTCACTACACCGTTGAAGTCTTTTCTCTCTGAGAAGAGCATATCGAGGTCAGATGAAATGTGGTTAATTAAATAGGGCTAATGGGATTAATGGGCCACCACATTTTAGTTATTAAATTAGAAACAAAGTTTATGTTCTGTTACCCGTATACACGTCTGAACCTGCCTAACATTATGCATTTAACTGGAAAGTTTCCAAATGTGTGTACTTTGAGGATACCAATTCCCCTTACAAGACAGCTGGATATGCTGAAACAATAAGTATATAATCCAACGTCCATTTAGAGCTTACTGTGAGCTTGACACTGTTTTTAAGTGCTTAACAAATATTAACTAAATGTACCCTCATAATCATTCAATGACTAGATATTATTATCTCCTTATGCTAGATATGAAAACTGAAGTATTTGAATTAAGAAATTTCTCAAACAGCTACTAAAAAGCAGGTCTTTGGAAAGTCCAGAAATCTGAATTCCAGGCCCTTTACAGTTTGCAGACGCATAGATGTTATGCAAATAACATTTGTTGAACACGCTGAATCAAGTCTCAGACCTCTTTTAAACTGAAAAATTGGGGTGACCTACCAGCCTTGTTGAATTTCCCAAGCATTTTTGAACATCAAGAAGGATAATGTAAAATGTCAAAACACTTCAAAAGCTGGAAAACACTGTGAATCTATTAAGGACTTTACAATTTGGGAAGCTGAAGTTAAAATCAAATGGATTCATAGCAGTGTTGAGTCCCTAATATATCAAATACCTGTATATTGTGAATTACAACGATAATTAACATTTTAGACCTATGGTAGATTAATTTAGGTCCAATTAAAAATTCCAGTTGCAATGAAAGTTCTTTTTTTTAAATAAATAGTTTATTGTCAAGTTGATTTCCATATAACACCCAGTGCTCATCCTCACATGTGCCCTCCTCCATGCCCATCAACCCCATCACCCCGACACCCATCAGTCCTCAGTTTGTTCTCAGCATTCAAGAGTCTCTCATGGTTTGCCTCTCCCTCTCCCCCATATTTCCCCCCTTCTTCTCCCCCACTCCTCCGTTAAGTTCCTCCTAATCCTCCTATACGTGCAAACATATGGTATTTGTCCTTCTCTGCCTGACATTTCGCTCAGCTGAACACCCTCAAGTTCCATCCATGTTGCTACACATGGCCAGATTTCAATCTTTCTCATTGCCATGTAGTAGTCCATCGTGTAGATAAACCACATCTTCTTGATCCATTCGTCCGTTGATGGACACTTAGGCTCTTTCCATGTTTTGACTATTGTTGAGAGTGCTGCTATGAACATTGGGGTACATGTGCTCCTATGCATCAGCACTCCTGTATCCCCAGGGTAAATTCCTAGCAGTGCTATTGCTGGATCATAAGGGAGTTCTATTGTTAATTTTTTGAGGAACCTCCACACTGTTTTCCAGAGGGGCTGCAACAGTTTACATTCCCACCAACAGTGTAGGAGGGTGCTGGTTTCTCCACATCCTCGTGAGCATCTAGAGTCCTCTGATTTATTCATTTTAGCCATTCTGACTGGCGTGAGGTGGTATCTCAGTGTGGTTTTGATTTGTATTACCCTCATGAGGAGAGATGCTGAGCATCATTCATATGTCTGTTGGCCATCTGGATGTCCTCTTTGGAGATGTGTCTGTTCATATCTTCTGCCCATTTCTTCACTGGGTTGTTTGTTTTTCGGGTGTGGAGTTTGGTGAGTTCCTTATAGATTCTGGATATTAACCCTATATCTGATATGTTATTTGCAACTATCTTTTCCCATTCCGTCGGTTGCCTATTAGTTTTGTGGGTTGTTTCCTTTGCCGTGCAGAAGCTTTTAATCTTGATGAGTTCCCATTTTTTTTTTTTTGCTCTTGATTCCTTTGCTTTGTTGGATGTGTCAAGTAAGAAGTTGCTGCGGTGGAGGTCAAGGAGGTTGTTTCTTTCTCCTCTAGGGTTTGGATGGTTTCCTGTCTCACGTTCAGGTCCTTTATCCATTTTGAGTTTATTTTTGTGTATGGTGTGAGAAAATGATCTAGCTTCATTCTTCTGCATGTTGCTGTCCAGTTCTCCCAGCACCATCTGTTAAAGAGGCTGTCTTTTTTCCATTGGATACTCTTTCCTGCTTTGTCAAAGATTAGTTGGCTGTATACATTTGGGTCCACTTCTGAGTTCTCAATTCTATTCCATTGGTCTATGTGTCTGTTTTTGTGCCAATACCACACTGTCCTGATGATGACAGCTTTGTAGTAGAGGCTAAAGTCTGGGATGGTGATGCCTCCCATTTTGGTTTTCTTCAATATTACTTTGGCTATTCAGGGTCTTTCATGGTTCCATACAAATTTGAGGATAGTTTGTTCTAGTTTTGAGAAGTATGCTGGTGCAATTTTGATTGGGTTTGCATTGATTGTGTAGATTGCTTTGGGTAGTAATGACATTTTAGCTATATTTATTCTTCCAATCCATGAGTATGGAATGTTTCTCAATTTCTTTGTGTCTTCTTCAATTTCCTTCCTTAGTTTTCTATAGTTTTCATCATACAGATCTCTTATATCCTTGGTTAGGTTTATTCCTAGGTATTTTATGGGGTTTTTTTTGTGCAATTGTGAATGGGATCAGTTTCCTGATTTCCCTTTCTGTTGCTTCATTGTTGGTGTATAAAAATGCAATCGATTTCTGTACCCTGCAACTTTGCTGAATTCTTGGATCAGTTCTAGTAGGCTTCTGGTGGAGTCTGTCGGGTTTTTCCATGTAGAGTATCATGTCACCTGTGAAGAGTGAAAGTTTGACTTCTTCTTGCCAATTCTGATGCCTTTGATTTCCTTTTGTTGTCTGATGGCTGATGCTAGGACTTCCAGCACTATGTTAAACAATAGTGGTGAGAGTGGATATCCCTGTTGTGTTCCTGATCTCAGGGGGAAAGCTCTCAGTTTTTCCCCATTGAGGATGATGTTAGCTGAAGGCTTCTCATAGATGGCTTTGATGATGTTTAAATAATTTCCTTCTATCTCGACTTTCTCGAGGGTCTTTATTAAGAAGGGATGCTGTATTTTGTCAAATGCTTTTTCTGCATCTATTGACAGGATCATATGATTCTTATCTTTTCTTTTGTTGATGTGATATATCACATTGATTCATTCGCGAATACTGAACCAGCCCTGTAACCCAGGAATGAATCCCACTTGATCTTGCTGGATAATTCTTTTTATGTGCTGTTGAATTCGATTTGCAAGTATCTTGTTGAGGATTTTTACATCCGTATTCATCAAGGATATTGGCCTGTAGTTCTCTTTTTTTGCTGGGTCTCTGTCTGGCTTGGGAATCAGAGTGATGCTGGCTTCATAAAATGAGTCTGGAAGTTTTCCTTCGATTTCTATTTTTTGGAATAGTTTGAGAAGAATGGGTATTAATTCTGTTTTAAATGTCTGGTAGAATTCCCCACGGAAGCCATCTGGCCCAGGGCTCTTATTTGTTAGGAGCTTTTTGATAACTGATTCGATTTCCTCACTTGTTATGGGTCTCTTCTGGTGTGAATTGTGGTAGTGAGTGTGTGTTTAGGAATTTGTCCATTTCTTCAAAGTTGTCCAGTTTGTTGGCATATAGTTTTTCATAGTATTCCCTGATAATTGCTCATATTTCTGAGGGGTTGGTTGTAATCAGTCCGTTTTCATTCATGATTTTGTCTATTTGAGTTCTGTCTCTTTTCACAATAAGAAAGCGTTCTACAATGGATACAGAGATTTCCCTTGAAGTTTGTATGTTATGTTTAGAACATACATAGATCACCTCACAGACAGCTGTTGCAAATTTCTTCAGGTATAATGCAGCAAATTGATATACTACTAATTCGTATACTACCACTAATATATTCAATCTAAGTTTGAATATGTTAAAGTCCATTACACTTAT